TCACCAATCCATCATCAACCCTCTCTTACACATCCAAATCAGTACAAATAACATCAATACATATTACCCGACTATTCTACGGCATTATTGCTCAGTTTCAACCGATTAAATCCTCGATCTACCGATTAATCCAACTTTTGCCCTAAATAGAAAGTGATGAAAAACATCCACAAACCCCAAACCCAACATACATAATAGCATACAATGATTAAATAGCAATGTTTCTCACCCTTACCTCGATTAATCGGAGCTTTGATGTTGGTTCTTGATGATTTTTCCACTTTTCCTCTTCTTCTCCTCTCTTTCTCTTCTTTCTTCTTTCTTTCCTCTTTCTCTCCAAATGTTTCTAAATTTCTTTTCTTTTCTTTCTCACTTATATATTCCTTTTATTTTCTTTCCTTCCAATTTCCTTCTCAATTTTCTATTAATTCCAATTAATAAAAATTAATTCCAATATTAACATAAAATCCCACTAAATCAATTAATTACTACAATTAATTATTTAATGAAATTTGGGTTGTTACACATCCGCCTAGTCTCGACAGACTGAGAGTATTTGGATGTGTGACCTATGCTCATATTAGGCAAGACAAGGTCGAACCTAGAGCTCTGAAATGCATGTTCATGGGATATCCTGAAGGAGTTAAAGCTTATAGGCTATGGTGGCTAGAGCCAGGTCACAAGAGGTGTGTCACCAGTCAAGATGTAGTTTTCAATGAAGCAAAGATGACTTTTAGAAAAACGGATGATGCTGACAAAGAGCTAGAATAGGGAGAGAGATTCATGTTGAGGTGGAGCGTGTTGATGTTGAATTGCGTACCCCAAATGAAGTCGAAGAAGATGCAGAAGATGTTCTCGAAGATGAGGAGACTGATAATGACTACCTGCTAGCAAGAGGCAGGTTGAACAGAGTCATCAAGCCACCTCAGAGACTTGGGTATGCAAATCTTATACCTTATGCCTTAATCTCTGTAAGTGAGGTTCTAGAGAGACTATAAAGAAGTTATGAGGAGTCGAAAGAAGACTGAATGGATGAAGGCCAAGGATGATGAGATGAAATCTCTTCATGATGACAACACGTGGGAACTGATCAAGAAACCTGCTGGAGCTAGGTTAGTCAGATGTAAATGGATTTTCAAAGTTAAGGAAGGAATCGAAGGAGTGGCGTCGGAGAGATACAAGGCAAGATTGGTTTCTAGGGGTTCACTCAGAAAGAAGGTGTCAACTTCAATGATGTGTTCTCTCCTGTTGTGAAGCACATATCCATTCGAATGTTGCTTGCCATAATGGCACAATTCGACCTTGAACTAGAACAGGTGGATGTGAAGATTGTGTTCTTGTATGGTGATTTAGATGAAACAATCCAGATGAGGCAACCTGAAGGGTATGTCGAAAAAGAGAAGGAAGATTATGTGTACAAGCTGAATAGATCCTTATATGGACTGAAACAATCTCCTCGACAGTGGAATAGGAGATTCGATAAGTTCATGGCACGCATAAGTTTCATCAAAAGTCAGTTCGACCATTGTGTTTACTTCAGATTTCGACCGGGTAATTCATTTGTTATTTTGTTGCTCTATATGGGTGATATTCTAATAGCAAGCAACAACGTCGAAGAGGTAATGAGGGTGAAGGCTGAACTAAATAAGGAGTTCGACATGAAAGATCTGAGAGCTGCATCCAGGATTCTTGAGATTGACATCCAATGAGATAGAAAGCAATCGAAATTATGCCTATCTCAAGAGGCATACCTACAGAAGGCTCTCAAAAAGTTTGGCATGTCAAATTCTAAGCTTGTTGTGACTCTGACAAACCCTTAATTCAAGCTTAGTATAGATCAGTGTCCCAACACTGATGTTGAAAGAACTTATATGAATAGCATTCCATATGCTAATATAATGGGTTCTTTGATGTATGCTATAGTCTGTACTAGGCCCGACATAGCATATGCAGTAAGTCTTGTAAGCAGGTACATGGCGAGTCATGGAAAGGATCACTGGAAAGCATTAAAGTGGATTCTAAGGTACATAAATGGGTCTCTAAATAGATTCTTAATTTATGGTCGAGCCTTGGTTGAAGATAGTAAAGCAATGGTTAAAGTCTGTTTACATGTTGTTGATATGATCACCAAGACGTTGCCAAGTTGCAAGTTTTCCCATTGTATGCAATTGATAAAGCTGCATGAAGAAAGCTAGTTTCTTGATATTATAGAGTTAGATCCAAGGTGGATATTTGTGAGATGTTGGATCGAACTCTAGTATGATCAAAGGGTAACGTTTGGTTCGACAGAAATTAAGCATGAGGTCGAAGTATGTTCGTATGCTGCTGTCAGAGTAATGCGTGTTATAGTTGAAGTTTATTCTAACATGCATTAGTCAATATTTCTAGGGTTGTTAGCATGTTGAATTGGGTCTTGCTTGTAAGCCCAATTGTTTAAGTTAGCTTGTAATGGGTAATTGTTAAAAAGCCCATTAGGTTAGTGTGCTATTTCTCTTAAAAATAGGATGCTAGTTTCTTAATCTTGGCATAAGAAAAAATAGGAAGATAAAATCCTAATTTCAAGAGAGAGATGTTATATTGTTATTCTTGTATACTTGTAATCGTGTTCTAAGAGTAAGGAAAGAATAGCAGTTTATAACCAATCCTTGTTGTTTTACCTTGGTTTCTTTGTTAACCATAACCCTTGTGTGTTTCTTGATCATAAAAAAACCGTTTATACTTTGTTTCAAGACATCCAATTCACAACAATATATATATATATATATATATATATATATATATATATATATATATATATATATATATATATATATATATATATATATATATATATATATATATATATATATATATATATATATATATATATATATATATATATATATATATATATATATATATATATATATATATATATATATATATATATATATATGACGTATCATATGTGAATGTCATTTTTATGTGAAAACATAATCAAAGGAACCTTCATGGGGTGACATAATCAAGAATCCTACACAACATGATAAGATATACATTGTTAATTACAAGATTAATTTAAAAAATACATAACACGCGCACAAAAAATCCTACTTACCATTTTCTCAGCGACTAATCTTGAGGCATCTAAAGTGTAGTCTCCATTTGGTCTGTGTCGAGCACGCTTCCACTTCTCATGTCGTGATAGTGGAGATGAGTTGCGATATCGACTCATAGAGTCCTCATCTCCTAATTGTTGTCTTTTTTTTCAAGAATAATTATTTTCTTAAGTTTCTTGTATTCACCATGAAACAATCTATGAGGGTATTTATTTTTTGCCTTGTTCTGCTTTTCTGCTTCACTTTTAACAAGTTTTAAACATTGAAAAAAAATGTAATCTTGCATGGTTGTATCTATAAAGCATATGCATAAAATTATCAGAAGATACAATTAGTACTAACTAGGAACTCCTTAGAACTACGATACTTCATAAACTTTTTCCAAACCTTCTTATCAAGAAAATTATATCTCACCCACAAAATCTCAAGATCCGGCTTAGGCTCCCTAATATAGTCACGCGTGAGCCGTGACTCCAACATGTACCATCATAAGTGATCCATATTTTTTCAAATTAGAATAATCAGAAAACCCAAAAGTTATTTACACTGTGACATCAATAGATATGTATTAGTAATTATATAAATTAATAATATATAATTGATGAAAATTAAAATGAATACCTTAACGTTCGTCCATATGTTCTCTTTCACCTCTATTGGTGCATCGTTCCAATCATTTTTCAATGTACGGACTTTGCAACATCCAAGGAACACAACATAACTTTTAAAAAGCGAATAATCAAGACCATTAAGTATCATACAAATGGCACTAAACTCGATCCAAAATTTGTTATCTGACTTGTGGAGTTTTGCTAATTTAGCCATCAAGTATCCTTTACCTAACGAGCAAGTTGGGGTGGTCCAAACAGGACCAAGAAATTTCCTAAGAATGTTATTAAAATTGTATTGAAATGAAAAGAGAGGGGACAATTGCAGCTGCCATTCCACAACTAGGCGCGAAGGGACTGGATACTACTAGTTTAGATCCCATAATAAAGGCAAAGATTGAAAGGCTCAGTCTTGTAGATGACCTAAAATAGGTACGATTGGGCCTTTAGATTTTCAAATAAAAAAAACTAGGAAGCTCTCTATCTAATGTTGGAAAGGAGGAATTAGTCACCTTATTAAGGGGGAATACCGACTTAATTGCGTAGACGCCCACCGACATGCAAGGAATAGACATCAGGGTGGCCTGTCATTATCTCACCATTGATTCCACCGTGAAGCCAGTATCTCAAATAAAGCGCAAACTGGGCATTGAGTAGCGGATGACTATCAATGAGGAGGTAGAGAAATTCAAGAGTGCAAGCATCATCACTAAGATTAAGTATCCAACAGAATCACTAATATGGTCTTTTTTTGGAAATTGTTGAACAAATGGTGCATGTGCATCGATTTTACTGGCCTGAACGCCGTATACCCTAAGAATCTATACCTATTACCTAATATTGATCGATTTATTGATAGGTCCTTCGGCTATAAAACCCTGAGTTTCACGGATGCTTACTTAATCTAGAATAAGATAAAGATGGATCCTATTGATGCGCCTAAAACAAATTGATCTACAAACCAAAAATAAAAGAAACCAAATACATGCAAATTGAGAAAACCAAACCCGAGCTCCGACAAAACAAACCACCTGCTGAGCCTTAACCCATTGTCGCACCACTGCCACCGACTCCACCTCTAAGCCGATTTCTTATTTTTACAATCACAAAACATGTTCTATTTCTCTTCATCGCTTGAGATTTAAAGACATACTACAACATATATATTTTTTAGTAAAACAAAATACATTCATATGTAATAACAATAATAATCAACAACATTAACTTTTTCTTTTGACACATAAATGAAAACGAGTTACACAAATAAAGTATAAATGAAAACGAGTTACAACATCTATATTGGAATTTTGGCATGAAGGCAAAGATGATTCTTTTTGTGTTGAGTGAGCCCCGGGCTCCTTTCAGTATCAATATCTTCCTTTCGTAATCCATGTGGCAATTCCCAATCAAAGGAATATAGAAGATTAGCAAGGATGAGTTCCAATGATGCAACTGCCATGGAAATACCTGGACATATTCTACGACCAGCTCCAAAGGGAATTAGTTCAAAATCTTGTCCATAAAAATTTATAGAACTTTCTAAGAATCTCTCCGGAAAAAATTCTTCAGGATCTTTCCAAACGTCGGCATCTCTATGAATAGCCCAAGCATTCACAAACACTATAGTCTTTGCAGGAATTTGATAACCACCTATGATGCACTCTTCTCTTGATTCTCTTGGTACAAGTAATGGACCTGGTAGATACAATCTTAATGTCTCTTTTATCACAGCCTTCAAGTAGGAGAAATTTTGTATATCATCTTCATTCAAAAAATCTTTTTCAAATTTTGAATTTCTAATCTCTTCTTGTAATTTTTTCAATACTCTTGGGTTTTTTATTAGCGCGGTCATGGCCCAAACTGCTGTCGCTGATGTAATATCCGTTGCACCTACAAGCATGTCCTGTAATGGATTTTAAGATAGTAAACACCAATATAATAGTCCTTGGAATATAAAAAATTTACCAAATTAAAACACAATTTGAAAAATGTATCAATATAACATACCATGAGGACTCCTTTGATATGATCAAAAGTGAGATCAATAGAAAACAAACGTTCTTTCTTCAATTGGAGCAAGACATCAACAATAACCTCCTCATCTCCATGTTTTCTATTTGGATCCAAATGTTCATCTATAACCTCTTGGTAAAACTCATCCATCTCCTTGAGGTTTCGTTCCAGACGCGCACGAAGTCCCGATAGTTTATCAATCCAACCCATGAATGGAATATAATCAGAAACAAAGAAAGCTGTCAACATAGCCTCAAACTCATGCAGCATCCCATGGAATTTACTCCTCTCTATTCCTTCATCCTCGTACCTCCTCCCAAAAGCAATCCTACAAATTATTGTACATGTGAGAGATGTTACCATCTCACTCAAATTTGTAACAGTTGAAGAAGCAGCATGATTAGAAATCTTTTTGATCATTTGTTTCACCTCAAACTTTCTTATAGAGTTATAAGATGACACACGCTTGGCACTAAATATATGAATAACACAAAGTTTTCTTATATCTCTCCAAAAATCACTATATGGAGAAAATGCCATTTCTGACCCATTATAAGATAGTTTTTGTTGACCATATAACACAGGTCTATTAGAAAACACAAGATCATTGTTTTTGAATATTTCTTTGGCAATTTCAGCTGAAGAAACAACAATAGCTGGTCTTAAACCAAGTTTAACTGAAAATAATGGTCCATATATTTTTGAGAGTTTTGAAAATTGTAGATAAAGAATAGAATTGTCTAGCTGGTGAAGGTTCCCTATTAATGGCAAGCCTCTAGGACCAGGTGGATGAGGGGCTTTCATGGTTTTTCTACGTCTCAGGAAGAGCAAAACTAATGGAAAAATTAGACACAGAATAAGGATATGTAGGGACAACATTATCACCTTCTATGATGTGGAAAATATGGTTTAGTTTGTAACTTCAACTAAAAATAATAAGCTTCGTACATATATATAGGCATGACATTATGATATTTGTAGAGTAGTTACGTGCTCGTAAAAGTATTTAGATAATATATAGCCATGACTTCAAGAATTTTAGATTCACACAATTAGGTAGAAAACATGATTTCAAATTTTTTTTTTAGAAATAAATTCGTAAAAATACATCAATGATATCTCCATTAGAGAAAATTAGTAAAGTTTGAGTCGATTCTTCTTGTGACCTCTTAATTAGGATTGGGTATCAAGTTTGGTTGCCCGAATTTTGCATTATGATATTCTTAATAAGTCATAAATGTGCTCTCTATCACATTTCAATCAGATATCAATATGTGCTAGACTTGAGACTGTATTGTTGGGGTTGGCTGAAAATATACATGTTAAAGAAGTCTTACATCGCTTAGTTTTGTGAATGAAGAGAGAGTTCAAGGCTACTACATATATGATACAAGTTATTTGAAATCCCACATCGTTTAGTTTTGTGAAGCAAGTGGGAGTCCAATGCTATATATATAGGATTCAAGTTTTTCATTTCAAGATGCACTAGTCAAAAGCACTTTAAGCTTGTATTTGATTTTCTTTGTTCTCTTATGCTCTTGTATTATAGTGTTGTGAGATCTAGTTAAATATTTGTTTTGGAGGGTGTATGTGTACTAGGGGCCTAGTTTGTGATGGTATATTATGTGTTGTAACAATTTTCACATAGTGTTATTCTCTGGTTGTCTATTGACAACGACCGTGGTTTTTTCTCCGGTTTTGGAGTTTCCACGTTATGTTCTTGAGTTGTGATTGTGTTCCTATTTTTTCTCTATGCCTTGTTTGTTTGTTTTTCCAACAATTGGTATCAGAGCTTTTGGTTCGATCCAGGGATAAGTGTTCTTAGTATGCTCCGTGGTTGCAATTTTGTCTGATCTTCCACATCAGAAAAGAAGGATAGTGTTGTGAAAGAGTTGTTGAGCTGCATTCACAAATTTTGTTGTGCAATTTGGGCTAGAGAAAATTGATGGAAGAACTTTTTATTGACTTGTGGAAAGTTCAAGTCAAATATGTGTTGATACAATCAAGATTACACAAGGTGCAAAATTATATCGGTGGTTGAAGAGCTTCTTGCCAACAAGGAAGTTGCACCATAATGTTTCAACCTGATTTTCGACATGTGAAAATTCTTGAAGTGGTTTATCTTCAAGTGAAATATACTCTTCTTTAGGTGGAGTATGATAGGTTTTTAAAACTATGATTGCAGGTGAAGACAATGTAAAAATTTTGGAGTGGTTTAACTTCAAGTGAAATTTATTTTTCATGATAAAGTATATGATTGTCATGATGACAATGTGAAATTCTTGAAGTGATTTATCTTCAAGTGAAATATATTTTTCATGAGAGAGTATGATAGTTTTAAAACTATGATTGTCGGTGAAGACAATGTGAAAATTCTTGGAGTGGTGTAGATTCAAGTGACTATACTCTTTATGGTGGAGTATGATTGTTGGTGAAGACAATGAAAGTTTATGTATTATTTTCAATCAAGGTGGAGATTGTTGGGGTTGGTTGAAAATATACATGTTGATACTCTTTATGGTGGAGTATGATTGTCGGTGAAGACAATGAAAGCTTGTGTATTATTTTCAATCAAGGTGGAAATTATTGGGGTTGGTTGAAAATATACATGTTAAATAAGTCCTACATCGCTTAATTTTGTAAATGAAGAGAGAGTCCAAGGCTATATATATGATACAAGTTGTTTAAAGCCTCGCATCGCTTAGTTTTGTGAAGGAAGTGGGAGTCCAATTCTATATATAGAATTCAAGTTTTTCATTCTAAGATGCACCAGTCGAAACCACTTTAAGCTTGTATTTGACTTTCTTTATTCTCTTATGCTCTTGTATTAGAGTTTTGTGAGATGTAGTTAAATATTTGTTTTGGGGGGTGTGAGTGTACTGGGGGCTTGGTTTGTTAGAGTATATTATGTGTTGTAATAATTTTCACATAGTGTTATTCTCTGGTTGTCTATTGACAACAGTCGTGATTTTTTCTCCGGTTTTGGAGTTTCCAAGTTATCTTCTTGGGTTGTGATTGTGTTCCTATTTTCTCTCAATGCCTTGTTTGTTTGTTTTTTCCAACATGTATAACCTATCTAGCCTATCAACTATTTCATCTCGATTTTGCTCTTCTAGATTGGTTATTGATTTTTGGGATGAGTTTGATTCATTCAAGAGCCCTGGCGATGAAACTAGACATGTATACAACTATTCAAGCATGAGTCGTGTAAGGGTGAGAGTGTTTCTTAAGGCATATTAAAAAATTAAACTTTTACATACTGCAATATATGTTTTGATGATTATCTTTTGGGTTCGAGCCCTATTGGTGTTCTTAAAAAGAGGTAAACATAAATTTATGCATAAATGTTTATTAGTTTTAGGCTATGTTTAAATTTTTAAGACGAATTGAGCGAAACGAAAAGTAACGCATGGAAATTGGTGTTCTTAAAAAGAGGTAAACATAAGTTTCTATATAAGTGTTTTTCAATGTTTGGATATTTTTAGAAGGAATGAACTAAAGTTTCCATTCCTTCTAAATTGAAAGGGACCAAAAATGAAAGGAAGTGATGAAATAAGGCGAAATGCATTCTCAATTTCATCATCTTTTTGTCAATTCAAACAATATAACATAAACTTATGTTATTTCATTCTATCGCATTCCATCAATTTATATATAGTCTTAAGGTCTTTTCTGTTTTAGACGGGGTGTGACAACTTCCTCTCACATTAATTATTTTTCATAAATAAAAATCTAGACTTGTTATCACGAAAAAAATATATACATATACTTATCATTAAAAGATTATATTTTAAATATAATCCATCTGATATTTCCTAAAAATAATTGTTCATGTAATTGTGTGGTTGGTCAAATTCATGTAGTTCTAGGAGGAAATGATGTTCTTCAAATCTGGTATGTTACTTTGTAAGAGTGCTACTTGTAAACACTCTATGGCTCAAGTAAGTTTTTATAAGATGAAAATTTCATTTTTATGTAAAGAAGGTGTGTAGCTTGATTTGACATTTATTGTTCATTTTATAAGAGGTTTCTAAGGTTTTTAAGAGCATAGAACCTTTCAGTGCGTGATCACTATAAAAATAGACATGTGTCAGAGTAATTCATTATGTGATCTAACATTTTATGGATTTATCTTCTCGCAGGTATAGTAAAGAAATGGTCCAAGATGGTGAAGCTTATGAATAACAAAGATGTAAGAAAACTAGTAGCAGCTTAGCTTTAATGATGACAATACTTGAAGTCAAGAAATTGTTGAAGATAGCTCGAGCGTTCAAACATTCACAAGATGGTTGATTAAACTATCCTTTCGAATCAAGCTATTCTCTTAAAGATATTCTTAAAGATCAATTCAATATTGTAGCCCATCAGATTTGAAGTGAAGACTTAGGCTTTAAGGATCACCGATTGTTAAACCTTTCAATCTCTCAAGTGATAGTAATGAACATGAAGACATCTCAACCTTCATTAAGAAGAATCAAGGTTCTTGTGTGATACTAAAGTCAAATATAATGATGTCAAGAATTGAAGCTTCAAAGTTGTATAAGAGAGAAAGTGTGAAAGCTCGCCTAGTCGTGTCTGTCTAAGTAACCAGTTGTCGCAGTGAGAATCGGATGCCATAACTATTTGGTTAGCTAGGTTCATAAAACATGATATATCACCATCGATCTTTAATTTATCCAATGGATGGGGAAATGAACTAATAAGCCCAAAATAAATATTCAAAGCATAAAGATAAGACTAAAGGCTAAGCAAATAAGAGATCTAAGGTACAGGGGTTGATTATACTAAGGGGAGGTATTAGCACCCTAGGTATCTATAGTATCCTATAGGAACCTCTTATTGTATTTATATTTTTGGATAAAGTTGTTTGCTATTGATTGATTAGGGAGATGAGAAGATAAGTGTGTTTTATTGTTTTTGTGTTTGGCAAGACACAAAGTCTTGTGCCTACGTCCCAATGAAGGATCAAAACTTCGTAGTTCGGGATAAAAATTGAAAAGGGTTTGTTTTTGTGGACTTTAATGAATAAGAGACAAGTTGTCATCTTAACAATAATACTCAACATATCCACCACCAACATGTGGAAGAATGATCTTTGCTTCATATTGAAAGAAAGACTCTAATTTGGATGTATAATCAACAAGTATGCCACATACCTCTCTCAAGTGAAAAAGAATTAACATCTTTCTCAAAAATGTCATGGCATAAGAGATTTATATCTCAACTAAGGATGTATGATATCTAATCTATTTGAAAAGGTTTTAAATTGAAAAGCCAAGTGGCAAAAGGTTTGAATAAAGTTTGTGTTTTTTAGTTTTTCGAAAAGGTTTGAATATGCTTAAGATGTCTTGAAGCATTTATTGAGAAACAGTTTTGAAAAGTCAATGACCTAAGGTCAAGGTTTCTATTGAAAGAGATTTTGGGTTTGGGAAGAGGGAACCTACTTGAGTCATCTAAGGTTGAATTAGCCTAAGGGGAACTTCCTAAAAGGTAAACATGCTAAGGATAACAAATCATGCTAAAGATGTACAAGAAGATAAAGATGCATATACAAATGACATAAAGTCAACAAAAAGTCCCTCCCATTAGATTAGGCAACAAGATAAACATGTATATATAACCATTCAACAAAGAATTTAAGTATGAGAAACATGGTTTATCAACACAACTATTGAACACATGATTAAATAAAGAGCAACTTTAAAACATGGCACAAGTATAAACAAGATCAACATGAATCAACAAACATAGACATGGATTACAAGCAACGCATCTGACCAAGGCATATTCAACCTAAGCTAACATTCTCATATGAACAAAAGAGATGAATAACTTATTCATCAAAACAACATCAATACCCAGAAAAAGACATGACTTAA